GATGGGGGATGGAGGGTGAATAATGGAGAGAATGATAGAGCTGGGCCACATAGATAACAGAGAGAAGACTAGGGAAGAAATGCTCAGAGAGCTCTTGGCCCTCAGGTCTTCCCCAAGCCCTATTTCCTTCCTCCTTCCTTCCATCCCTTGCAGTCCCTGCAGAGGGCTGAGGAGAACACTGTAAAATCCTGGAGCCTGCTTCCTAGGAGACAGGGTACCTCACTAACATCCTAGCCTGATCCCTGGCTCTGGCGGGGGTGAGGTAATCCACAGGGCATTGAAGGCAATCTGGTCCCCAAGGACTTTGAGAGGTCATGCAGTCCATCCCCCTGTCTACCAATACCCAGCACACGCAAACAGACAAAATCATATTCTCTTTACCCTTCCCTGTACATGAAGAGATTCTCAGCTTCTCCCTATGGTTTCTCCTTCCCACAATCCCTGGCTGTGTGGAAGTTCTTTTCAAGACCTAGTCTCTATTCATCCTGCTGCAGTCTCTGACTTGGTTTCTCCTACCCTCTTTCCCATAACTAGAGAAAGGCCTCTTCTGGGTGATCATATCTCTTCCTCAGGATCTCCCCTCTAACATTCCTTCCTAATTAGTTGGTTTTTCCCAGGAGGTAACCCTCATCTCTCCCACTGCAGTCCCTGGCATCATTCTCCCTTGTCGCATTCTAGGACTCCAAGACAGAAATGCATCCCCAACCCCATCAGTTAACTAACGGAGACAAGGCAGGAGAAGGAAGAGGTCCAGGGGGAAGGAGTTGAATTAGGGAGATGGAGGCTGGAGGTGATGCTCCAAGCAGATGAAGGGCCAGGGACGTCCCAGGAGGCAGAGACTGGGCCAGCGGGCCTCACCTGTATCGGGGTCTCCCAAGAAGGCATCCTCGTCCTTGCGGCCCCTCAGAGGGGCCGCGGGCGCCGGCTCGTCCTCCGGCAGCCGCGGGAAGCTGGTGATGCTCATATAGTCCACGGGCGAGTAGGCGCCCAGGGCGCTCTCCTGACTGGCATCGTTCTCCGCCGCCATCCTCACCCGCGCCCCCCAGCAGCGCAGCGCCTGCCGGAAGTGGTGCGGCGGGGGCCGGAGGGAGGGCGGGGCCTGAGCTCTGGTGCCTCCGGGAGGGGGCGCCTCACCCCCACGTTAGCATGCGTTAGGGTCTGACTCGCCCCCGCCTGCTTAGGCTGTCAGCCTGCAGTGGACGCGCAGGTCGGGGTGGGGGTGTAGTTGCAGAGCCTGGAATGCAGGTCCGGGTCGCGAAGTTGGAGGTCGGGGGGAAGAGCACGCTACAAGCACGACCATAGTGGTTCTGGGCACCTTATGCAGCCCAGGGGCCAAGTCCCGTCCTCCTTCCAGTTTGAGCTAGAATCCTCCTTAGACCCTAGACTCCCTCCTCGGCCCACAGACTCTTCCACCGATCACAAACCTCTCCTCGGCCCCAGATTCTCCTCTGATACCAAACTCCTCAGACCCCAGATCCCTTCTTGGACTCCAAGATTCTTCTCCTCCATCTCGAACTCCTCTGCCGTCACCTCCCCATCCCGGCCCCCAACCCCAGCATTTTCTTCATCCTCAGACTGTTTCTCCACTTCGAGACCTCTCCTTGGATGGTCTCCTCAGACGTCAGATCCCTCCCTGGACTCCCGACACTTCTCAGACTCCTTTTTCAAGCACAATCCCTTCTGAGACCCTTGACCTAAACTTAGGTGTGTTAGAATCCTTAAAAGCAGATCCCCAAATTTCACTCTAGAGATCATGAATTATTACGCTGGGATTGGGTCTCTGGAACCTGAATATTTACCATCATTTTAAGAGTTTTTGATGATGTTCTGGAAAGAATGCTTTAATAATGGGTATGGTGGTATGGCAGAAGTGGAGTGGGCTGGGCTGGGGCTCAGAGTGGGGAGTGGGTCTCTGTAATCTAGATGTCTGGGTTTTATTCCTTGTACTACCACTTACAAACTATGTGATCCTGGGCATGACAAATAAACTTAGTATTAACTTCCTCATCTGAAAAATGGAAAGAATAATAGTATCCATCTCAGAGGGCTGTGAGGATTAAATAACACACAGAAAGCTCTTAGTATAGGGCTTGGCACCTACTCGATAATGCCATAATCATTATTATCACCTCCTTAATCTCGTGGATTCTCATCTCATCCAACCCTCTCCATCCTCTTCCCATTCTCAGGAATTCCAACTACTCTATAGCTTGCACTACTTCTCCATCTCCAAGGATGAGGGGTCCCCTCTTTATGAGGCCTCTTGTCCAAACTTTCTTCCTACAGTTCACAGGCAGAGGGAGGGGGCTAGTCAAGCTCCTGGAAATACATCCCCTCCTCCAATCCCAGGCTCCACGCTCAGAGATGACCTGAACTACTTGAAAATCTACTGTGCAGTGCCACCTGTAGACAGGAGGGGGCAGCAGTGTATCGGGAACAGCTCTAGGACTTGGGTGAAAGGCTAGGGAGACTAGAGGACTTTGTGTCTCCGGTGGGAAGATGGTTGTCTATGGCTGAGACTGTGTTCCTACTGTATGCCTTCCTCCCCATAGAGAGGTTAGTATCTTCTCAGTGAAGTCCATAGGGCTTATTATGCTTCAGAGAAGTCTAATCTCCCCAATGGGGCGGGTCCCCACCAAATGAGATCTGTGCTCCTTCATTGGTGTCTGTGCCCTCAGTGTAGTGAGAGGCCCTTCAGTGGGGTAAATTTCTCTTTAGTAAAGTCTATATCTTTTATATCTCCTAGAAGGAAGTCCATGTCCCCTCAGTAGGGTCAGTGATCCTCAATGCTAATTCATATCCTATTAGCAGCGTCCACAGCCCTTCATTGAGACCTGAGACCCCTCAGCAAGATCTGTGCTCCCTTAGTGGAGTCCATGTACATTCAGTGAAGTGTGTGCCCCTTCACTGCAGTTGTCTCCTTGTTGAAGTACCTGTCTCCTCAGTGGGGTCCATGTCCACTCCATGAGGTCTGTACCCCTTCAGGGAGCTCTGAGATGGACCCTTCCTTCAGGACTGGGTGGGCTCTGGATCATAGGTCTGACCATGGAAAAATCTTTTTTCAGTTTAGGGTGTGCTGCACTTGTGGTTAGCTGAGCAAAGAATGAGGGTACAGGTGGGAAGGAAGGCTGGGCCTGATGGGGTCACACATCCTGTGTAGGTTTCAGGAAGTGAGCGCTGACTGCCTTGGGCTTCAGAATCACTCTTGGAATTAAATGTTCAAGGTTCCTTCTTGCCTTGACAGCCATTCTGTGAACTGATAGGTGGGGCAGGCCTTTCTTGGTGGCCAGTGCAGGTGGGAGATGGAGGGTTCTGCCTGGCTCCTCTTTTATGGAGTGGAAAGGATAGAGGGAAGCCAAAGGTAATTGAGCCCAGGTGTGACAGATGAGCGTAGTCTCTTAGTGAAGTAAAGGGGCTGGGAAGGAAATAAGGGTATGAGTGATTCCTCCTATTTGCATAGACTTTGGTACAGTATTTCACAAGCCTTAGCTTCAGCCTGATGAGGGGGTAAACAGACTTGGAGTGAGGAGACCTAGGTTTGGCCCAAACTTGGTCATTGGCCATTATTTGCTTTGTGACAAATTCCTTCCTTTCCCTGAATTCACCAATTTGGGCAATGAGGAGGTGGGTTTATTAGCAAAGACCTAAACACACCTTCTACTCTTAAGTGAATCTTATACTTTAGAGCTGAGTCAAAACGTGTGGAGGCAGGGAGAGTAAAGACACGTCCTCAGGGGTGGGAGAAAATCTGAGCTGGCACTGAGTTTAGCAGAGAGGGGGATCCTGTCCTCTCGCTGTGTCCTCAACGTCATCGTGGAAGGAGATTTTTCTGAGGTCACAGGGGAAGGGTTTACTCGGAATGGAGGGATAGTTCTTTGAGGGGAAGAGTCCTGAACCTTACTTCACTGGGCTTTCCAGCTCGATGAGGTGACAGGCTTGTGAAATAAGACCAAGGGGCGGCTCCACGGTGGACCTGATCCAACTTCCCTTGTGAGCCAAGCTCTTTCCCGCTCTAGCCCCGCCTTAACCCAACCTCTCATCTGTCATTCCGAGACCGCACCCCACCCTGATCACTCCGTGGGCCCGCCTCCTCTCCTGCCACGCCCCGCCCCGCCCCTTCTGCTTTTCCCCTACGGCCCCACCCCTTCCGTGAATCGGTTCCTTTCCTATCCCCAAGCGGTGCTTGACTTTTCTCTATCCTTGTCTTTGCAAAACCCTGGTCCTGCTCCCAGGAGGTATGGCTCCGCCTCTCCGGGCCGCCCACCCCTGGTCTACCTAAGCCCCGCCTCCACCAGCCAGGCCCCACCTCTCCCCGAGGCCCCGCCCACTGGGCGCCCTGTTTTTCGCCCCCGAGCACCCGGGACGACAGCAAAGGCGGCAGCAGTGCTCGGAATTTGACGCGATGGGGCTTCCCGAGGAGCGAGGCCGGAGCGGCAGCGGCAGCGGGAGCCAGGTGGAGGCTGGAGCCTGGAGCCGTGCACGGAGTTGGTCTCCGCCGCCCGAGGTCAGCCGTTCCGCGCATGTCGCCTCGCTACAGCGCTACCGTCAGCTGCATCGGCGCTCGGTGGAGGAGCCGCGAGGTGAGCCTGGGCCCCGGCGCGCCTTGGGGCGTCAGTGGAGACAGAAGTAGAGGCTGCCAGGGGAGTGAGGAATTGGGGGCGTTCCGTGGGGAAATGAGGGTTCCATGAGGAGATAGGGGTTTTCTGAGGAGGAATGAGGAGGTTCCCTTGGGAGATGGAGGTTTTGTGAGAGAAAAATTGTGGGTCATTGAGGAGATGGACAAGGGGTTCGGGAAGAGATGGAGGTTATATGAGAAGGAGGTTCTGTAAGACGAGGTTTCCCTAGGAGTTGAGGAGTTTCCTGGTGACTTTGCGGGTTTCGTGAGGAGATATAGCTTCCGTGAGGAGATAGTGATTCTGTGAAGAAAGCGAAAGTTTTGTGAGAAGGGTTCCTAAGATTTGAAACTGTAGGAAACGGGGAACTGTTGAAAGTTTTTGAAGTGACAAGAAAGTAGTGTTTCCAGAATATCAATCTAATAGTGTTTAGATAAATATATCAGAGATTTAAGGTGGTGAGACGAGAGGAGAAAGAAGAGCCCCTTTTACACCAACTCAGCCATTGCCTCCTGACCCTGACTTCTTTAACCAGTGTGTTAGTCTCCACTGTTGAAGGACAAGAACTGGTTCCTATCCTAGAGTCCCCACAATTAGTTATGAAGTCCCAGATCTATTTTTAATATTTCAGAAATCCCAATAGAAATTACCCAATATAAGACTGAACAAGTCACATTTTAGTGTTTCTTTTTTGGTTGGGGGGGGTTGGGATGACAGTAATTCAGAAATTCTGATCAGTTCCTTCCATGTCTTTAAGAAAATGTGAGGAAAATTCCCTGCCCTTGCTCCTCAGTTTGGGAAAGTGGTCAAAACTGTACCTGGGTTGGAAGGCAGCATGATGTCTGCCAGTGACACAAGCATGGGCCAGAAATCCAACACAGAAAAATCTAGATTTATATCCTGGCTCTACCACTCATTTTCTGGGTGGTATTAGGCAGATTTTAAAAACAATCAGATTCCTTTTAGATATGGTTAATACTTGTCTTGTAGTTTTGTAGGATGACAAAAGTGAGTAATAAGTGAAGTGTGCATTATATATAGAGTGAGGCACAATAGACATTCAATAACTGGCGGTTAGTTTGATAACAATAAAAAAACATGGATGAAGCAATTACTGAGTAATGCAAGACAGGACTGAATTAAGTATAGAATGGTTGATTGCTGCAGACAGTGGTCAAGTTTGAGTCCTCGGACCTCTTTTCACTTCTCTCCCTCTCTATATTTTCTCCCATCATGAGTTTATCTGTTTTCCAGGGTGAACTATAACTGCCACAATAATAACTCCTATTATATAGCTCCTATTTAGCTCTGCGCCCAGGATCTCACTTATGCCCTGGTCCCAAATTTCATAGATCTGTAAACCATTTCATTCACACACCTTGATGTTATACCATATTAAATATGACTGTGACTGTGATTTACCAATTTTCCCTCCCAAACCTGTTCCCCTAACTAAATTTCTAATCCTTATTTATCAATGGCACTATCTCAAACTATAAATTCCTTTCATCATCCTCTCTTCCAATAAAATCTATGTATACCTATATCTTACTTATTTATAGGTTGCTTACTGCTTACAAGCACAAATCCTGTTTGATTTGATGTAGAGATTGTTGTTATCCACATTTTACAGAGAAAGAAACTGAAGCTTGGAGAGGTTAACTAATTTGCACAAGGTGGCAAAGCTACTTAGTGGTTGAGCTAGGATTTGAACCAAAGTGGCCTTGACTAAAGAACCTATACTCCTAATAGCTATGCTATTTTTCCCTGTTGCCACAGTCTGTCTTTCACCAAATACTGTCAAATACTACTTCAAAATGTCTATTGAGTTACCTTTATTTTCATTCCCACAGACTCTTTTAGCTCAAGGAAGCAGACTCCTAATTGGTTCTTTCTCCCCTAGTCTCACCACCTTCAATCTCTGATATATTTATCTAAACACTATTAGATTGATATTCTGGAAACATTACTTTCTTCTGTCACTTCAAAAACTTTCAATAGTTCCCTGTTTCCTACGGTTTCAAATTAAAATTCTGACTTTCTTTCAAGGTGTCTGGATAACTAGCCCCACTCCACCACTCTATCTTTTATCTCCCACTACTGCCCACCACACCCTTCATTCTCAACAGGTTATTCTCATTGATATACTGGATACTCAAAAATCCCTTTCCCACCTCCTTGCTTTTGCCCATTTCCGTCTGCTCCTCTCTACCTAGTCAAACTCCACCAATTCCATAGAGCATTCTCTGATTATCCCAGTCCATGCTCATCTTTTCCTCTTCGGAACTTCTTCAGTACTTAGAATGTGTGCCAATGAAACATCCACATTTCAACACCTCCAAAAACAAAAACAAAAAAACCCAGGAAACTAAAAACTGAAAAACAAAACTACATGATCATAAAACTCAGTTTTCTTTACTCCTTGTTGATGGATATAAATGTAGTTCATAAACAGTTTTACATAATTTATGTCTACTATTACCACTTAAAAATATTTTTGAGTATACACATATACTCGATGTAGTTGTTAACAACATGGATTTTAGAGTCCGATCTGATTTTGTATTCTGGTTTCTTACTGTGTGGTCCTTGGGAGCATTTCTTATGTTTCCTGAGCTTCAGTTTTCTCATCTATAAAATTAGGATAATTAATGATTATTTCATAGGGCCATAGAAAGATTAAATGAGATTAGCCCAGTCCCTGGTACTTGTATGGCATTCACTGAAATGCCAGTTCCCATTTACTTTCTCTTTAATGGCCATTTAATAGTCTATCGTAATACTACTAGTATTACTAGTTTTCATCAGGTTTTTTTCATTGTTGGGCTTTTGGGTTGTTTCCAGTTTCACTAGTGTAAATAATGTTCTATAAACATCTCTTTTCTTACTTTGGGATTATTTTCTTGAGGTGTTTTTCAAAGTTGAGTTAGCAGATGAAAGAGTATAAAAATTTTTATGGCTCTTGTCAGGCATTGCCCTGCCTTCCCCTAAGATAATGCCAATTTCTTATAATTCCATCATCATGTAAGAATATCTGTTTTCCAGGCCACTCAGGCATTAGCTTTAATTTTTTAAATCTTTGCTAGTTTTTATAGGTATATAATGGCACCTCAGGATGATTTAATTTGGATTTCTTTAATGGATTGCAAATGGTACACCATGTGATTTTGCTTGCAATTATATTGTTTTGTACACTCAGAAGTATTCTGTCTTATCTCTCCAACTAGAATGTACAAACTAAATCCTATAACCTTGAGCAAGTCACTTTGTCTCTTTGAATTTAGTTTCTTATCACTAAAATGAAGGGTGATAATCTCTAAAGTTCCTTCCATTGTTATGATTCTAAGTGTCTTTCTTTTCTTTAGCTCCTGATCCAGTACTGAGAATATCTTAAGTGCTCTGCAATCATATACTTTACTTGTTGAGTATATTTTCTCCAGTTTCAGGAAAATTTTTTAAGATTGTAAATCTGATCATGTCACTCCCTGCTTAAAATCCAGTGACCTTCCCTTGCTCTTAGGATATATACCAAGTTCCTTAACATGCCCAGAGGCATTGCATGATCTGCTTAGTTTATGCATCAAGTCCTGATATTCTTCCTCTTATTGTCAGTGCTTCAGCTTTATAGAGTTCCTGTTAACCCATACCCTGGGTTCCTTCCAATCCCACAGTACTCTCTTTCTTGGCGGGCAAGTGAAGAAAAATTTCTATTCATCTTTCCGATTTTAGCAAAAATATCTTCCTCAGGGAAGTTCAAGTCTTGGCTTGGTAATTGTATAACCTTGAGCAAGTTATTTAACCTCTCTGAGCCTTGATTTTCAAATCAATAAAATGTAAATGAAAATAAGGACTACCTCCTAGGATTGTGGTAAGGACTAAATGAAATAATACAAAGAGTTTAAAGCAACATATAGCAGGTAACACTTGGGCAAGTAGTAGTAGGAGAAAGACCTGGTTACTAAATAATTGCTGATAATGAATGAACAAATTAAGAGAAAAGCAGTTATAGAAGGCTCTGTGGGTAAAAGATTTCTTCCTTTCACTAATTAATTCATTTAAAAATTGCCTCCAATATGCTAGGCATTGTAATAGGCCCTGGGTGGCTATGATTTGAATAGATGGTGAAAATGGAATGGTGGGTTTTGAAGAGAAAAAAAAAAATTTGAGTCAAGATTCAGCTCATGAGACTAGAAAGAAGGTGGGTTAGGAGAGTGGTGAGTGATAAGATTAGACAGGTAGAGAAAGGAACCCAGGTGGTAGGCCCTATAACATAGGGCAAGGAAGTTGTGACTTGGTCCTGTGCATAGACTGGTAAGACATCTGAGGTTAAATATACCTGAGAAGCTTAGTGATGTTCAGGTTTCCCTTTCTGTTGCAGAGTTTTGGGGAGACATTGCCAAGGAATTTTACTGGAAGACCCCATGTCCTGGCCCTTTCCTCAAGTACAACTTTGATGTGACTAAAGGGAAAATATTCATTGAGTGGATGAAAGGAGCAACTACCAACATCTGCTACAACGTACTGGATCGAATTGTCCATGAGAAAAAGCTTGGCGATAAAATTGCTTTTTACTGGTAACAATATTTATTTTATAGTCTGCGATAGATAAAAAGTCCCACCTCACATTTTTATAGTGTTTCATAGTTCACAAAGTACTTTAAAACCCATGAACTCATTTGATGCTTATAACAACTTGGTAAAGTAAGCAAAGTATTCTTAATATCTCAGGTGAGGAAAAATACCTCAAGGAAGTTAAATGACTTCTCTAAAATCACATAAATAGCATATAACAGAATTGAGATTCAAAGCCAATTGTCCTGACTTCTTGTCTATTGTTCTTGGCTTGTAGTTGGTGAGGAAAGAGAGAAGGTAAATGGAAAAGAACAGACTGAATAGCTTTCTTTCTCATTCTTGCTTTGGGAGGAAACTTGGTATTGAATTTTTCACTACTATTTTTCACTACTGTTGTCATCATTGCCTTTTTTTTTTTTAATTAATTAATTTTTTTATGGTGATGTTGGTTAACAAAATCTAATAAGTTTCAGCTGTACACTTTAACAGTAAGGTATATATATTTACACTGTGTGTTCACATCCCATAGTTATTTCACTACATATTTGACCCCCTTTACCCCGTCTACCTCTCCCCTCCCCAACCCCTTACCCTCTGGTAACCACTAATAGTCCATATTCATGAGTCTCTGTCATTACCTTTTATCGAGCTATATACCAGACACTACGCTCAAGTGCTTAACAAATATTATCTCATTTGATGCTCACAAAAACCAAGAATGCACTATTTATTTTACTCATTTTACATAGTGAAAACTGAAATTCTAAGAAGTTAAGTGACTTATCCAAAGTCATACATCTAGCAAAAAGCAGGGCTGAGATTCAAACCCAGATAGTTTAATTCCAGAGATTACACTTTGACCATGACACTATACTATCTCTCTCAATTCCTTATATTAGCCTCTCAATAGCTTTGTAAAATAGGTATTCTTAGCTCCACTTTACAGGTTAAAAAAATGAAGCACAGAAGGGTTACACAATGAATAAGGTCACAGAGTAAGTAGTAGAGACAGGATTAAAAACCAGTCTGTCTGACTCCTTCCTTGTAAAACTAGGCCATGCTGCCTCCAGAATTCTAAGACCTCCTGCTCTTGGCAACATGGTTCTATAGGAGGTATTAATATACTAAACCCAAATAGGACCTTGAAGTTCCAGTAATTGAGCTGTTGCTTCTGCTACCGCCATGAACACTCTGAGAATTGATTCTATTATTAAGTGAGCCAATTGGAGCAGAATGGATGTTTCATGGAAGAGTTAAATTGGTACTCAGTCAAAACTGCCTAGTTTGTGTGATATGTTGAGAAGAGCCCTAACCTGTGAGGAGGAAATTCAGGTTCTCATTCTAATTCGGCCATTCACCTGCTGTGTAACGACAGGCAACTCTCAAAGTCAGTTTCCTCTTCCATAAAATAGGGATAATAATTCCACCCTTGTCTTTCTCCTTAGATTATTATGAGAACCAAATAAGACAATGTAGAAACATTTACTTATTTATTGGAAAGCGCTGTATAAATGTAAGTGGGTCTATTATCACATTGCCATTTCCCAATTTGGAGTCACTATGCCACTGAAACTCATGGTCTGTATGTCTGTTTAGACTTCCTTTAGCTCCTGCCCTGGGACTTTATGTTGAGCTCCAACTGACACTTGGGCCCACCTCTTCAGTTCCTTAGGGATCAGAAAACCTTTAAAGATCTATATAGGAGATGCCTGTGTCTAATTTTTTTCTCTAGTTTGAAATAATTAGGGTGCATGGTGAAGGACTGAGAAAACACAGGCCAGAGTTGTTCATTCACTGGAGATTACTCCAGAATCCTGATACCCTTCTTTTTAGTTTCCCACCTTTCATACCTGAATAGCTTCCAGAGAGCCTCTCTTTCCCCATTTGTAAAATGAGGGGAGTAGATTAGATAAGTGTTTTCCAAAGAATGCTCCAGGAACCACTGATTACTAGAGATATTAATAGGGGCTTGCTGTCTACGGCCATGCCACCCTAAATATGCCTGATCTCGGAAGCTAAGCAGGGTCAGGCCTGGTTAGTACTTGGATGGGAGACCACCTAGGAATACCAGGTGCTGTAGGCA